ACAGGTATGTGGTGGTGACAAGCCTTACATTGCACCTTCAGATCTGGAGCGAAAACACTTGGATCTCAAGGAAGTAGCACTTAAACAATTTCGTTCTGTGAAAAAAATGGGTGGAGATGAGTTCTGCCGTCGTTATCAGGACCAGCTTGAAGCTGAAATTGAAGAAACCTATGCAAATTTTATAAAGCACAATGATGGCAAAAATATCTTCTATGCTGCTCGTACTCCTGCCACACTGTTTGCGGTCATGTTTGCTATGTATATAATCTCAGGACTGACTGGCTTCATTGGCCTGAACTCTATAGCTGTCTTGTGTAACCTTGTCATGGGGTTAGCACTGACATCCCTTTGTACTTGGGCATATGTTAAATACTCTGGGGAGTTCAGAGAAATTGGAACAATGATTGATCAGATTGCTGAAACACTATGGGAACAGGTTGGTATCTATCTTTTGGTTTTTCAGTGACTAATCTCATTTTCCCCATGACTCCCTTTATTCCCCACCCCTCCCCTGCAGTGTTTACATATCAACACAACTATTTTCCGTTACATGAAGAATGATAAAACTATATTTTATGTTTTGTTTAGATACAGAATGTACTAATTAAAAATTTCTTTTTCTTTAAAATCATAATGTATTTTGGTTAGCTTAAATCTGTAATATTCTCAGGATAGATTCTTAGTTATAGGCCTGACTTTGCCATCAGTGGGTAGGACCAGGATCTCTAATAATATTTTTTTTTTGTTTGAGAAAATAAAATATAATCAATGAATAGTTTTAAAGGTGAGGAAAAGAAGTTTGGAAGTATAGTCATGCTTTTGGAAAGAAAAAGAAGTTTCTTACACCAGCAAGAAGCAGTGCAGGAAAAACATTGGATGACAGACTCCTGTCATTGCCTTCCATGAAGAAAGTGGTGATTTATTGATGTACTACAAGAAGCAATCCCACAGAGAGGTTTTTCCAAAGAAACTTTGACTTCTGTACCATGGAAATACTAAAGGACAAAGTAAAGCAACCATGAGCTGAGAAACCAACTTCAGTCATAATCTTTTACCTCAAATTACAATTCAAAGTCAGGCTGTGAACTCTTGTCCAGCAAGTATCTACTAAGGAGTGCGGTTTTATATATCTGCCACCTGTATGTTGGATTTGCCTGTGTAAAGATAATTCTCCTTAAGGATGTCATTAAAATGATCATCATGAGATACCTGAACATTATCTCAAGGACCAGAATAAAAGCTGAGGTTATTATCATGATGTGAAGGAGCATTTTCATGCTCCTTCTGAGCCAGTAAGGTGTTGAACCTATTTAAAGATTTAGGATTTGCAGGTGTATGTTTGTTTTTGGCTTTAAAGACTGAAGAAGCAGACCATTTTTTGAAGAAAGTTGATTAGATGTTGACTTTTCTTGTAATAGTGTGTTAATTTGGGTTTTGCCTTTTCTCTTTAGGAAAGTATTCTATTTGTGTTTGGATGTTTGTTAAATTTTAGAATTTTATTTCTTTATAAATCTTACTACTTTATGGTCCTTTGATAATTGCTAATAGAAGATGGATTAAAAGCTATCACTACCTAAAAAAAAAAAAAAACCCTACCAAGAAAGAAAAGCCCAGGACCAGATAGATTCTCACCTGAGTTCTACCAGACCTTCAAAGAAGAGCCAACACCAATAATACTCAAATTATTCCATGAAATAGAAAAAGAGGAAACCTTTCAAACTCATTCTATGAAGCCAGTATCACCCTGAAACAAAACCAGACAAAGACATATCAAAGAGAAATTTCAGACCAATATCACTGATGAACATGGATTCAAAAATTCTTAATAACATCCTGGCAATTCACATACAAAAAGATATTTAAATGACAGTGATCAAGTAGGGTTAATCCAAGAGATGCAAGTTTGGTTTAACATATGGAAATCGATAAATGTGACTCATCACATTAATAGACTTACAGACAAGAATCACATGATTATCTCAATAGATTCAGGTAAAGCATTAGACAATATACAGCATCCATTCATGCTCAAAACAGTAGAAAAATTAGGGATAGTGGGAATATACCTCAACATTGTAATAGCTATATATGCTAAACTAAAGACCAATATCATGGAGAAAAATTGAAAGAATTTCCCTAAAAACTGGAATAAGTCAGGGATGCCCTCTTTCATGAATTCTATTCAACATAGTCCTGGAAACTCTAGCCAGAGAAATTAGACAGAAGAAAGAAATTAAATGGATATGAATAGGAAAAGAAAAACTCAAACCATCCCCATTTGCTAATGAGATGATTCTAAATTTAGAAGACAAAAAGCTTCACCAGAAAACTTCTGAACTCATAAATGAATTCAGCAAAGTAACAGGATATAAAACTAACATCCACAAATCAATTGAGTGATTCATAGGTGATGAATCAACGGGAAGAGAAATTAGGAAAACTATCCCATTTGCAATAGTTTAAAAAAAATATTTGGGAAACAATCTAAGAAAGGAGGTGAAAGACCTCTATGATGAAAACTACAGAACACTAAAGAAATAAATTGAAGAATATCTTAGAAGATAGAAAGATCTCAAAGATCTTGGATAGGCCAGAATTAATATTATCAAAATGGCCATAGTACCAAAAAGGCTATATAGATTTAATGCAATTCCTATTACAGTTCTGATTATATTCTTCATAGAAATAGAAAAATCAGTCATAAAATTCATTTGGAAAAATAAAAGACCAGAATAGTCAAAGCAATCCTCAATAAGAAAAGTATATCAGGAGGCATCACAATACCAAACTTTAAATTATACAACAGAGATATAGTAACAAAAAAGGCATGGTATTGGCACCAAAACAGACATTAGACCATTGGTACAGAATAAAAAACACAGAGACAAACCCACATAAATAAAATCATCTCATACTATACAACAGCACCATAACCATACATTGGAGAAAATATAGCCTCTTCAACAAATGGTGCTGGGAAAACTGCAATCCATATATAACAAAATTAGACCTGTATCTCTCACCCTGCACAAAACTCAACTCAAAGTGGATCAAGGACCTAGGCATTAGACCAGAGACCCTTCATCTACTAGAAGAAAAAAAAACCCTAATCTTCATCATGTCAGCTTAGGAACTGATTTCATCAACAAGACTTTGAAAGCATAAGGAGTAAAACCAATAATCAATAAAGGGGATGGATTCAAACTAAAAAGCTTCTTCACAATAATAATCAAGAACATGAAGAAAGAGCCAACAGCAGGGGATAAGAACTTTTTCACCTGTAACTCAGATACAGCATTAATTTCCAGTATATATAAAGAACTCAAAAAAACTTAACATCAAAAAGGCAAATAACCCAATCAATAAGTGGCCAAATGAACTGAACCAACACTTCACAGAAGAAGAAATATAATCAGTAAACAAATATATGAAAAAAAATTCAACATCACCAGTAATTGGAGAAAAGCAACTTAAAACTACACTGAATTTCATCTCTCCAGTCAGAATGGCAATTATCAAGAATACAAGTAACAATAAATGTTGGTTAGGATGTGGGGGGAAAGTACACTCATACATTGATGGTGGAACTGCAGATTGGTGCAATGACTCTGCAACAGCAGTATGGAGATTACTCAGAAAACTTGGATTGGAACCATCATTTGACCCAGGTATCCCGCTCCTTGGTCTATACCCACAGGTCTTAAAATCAGCATATTATAGTGATGCAACTACATCAGTGTTTATAGCAGCTCTATTTACAACAACTAAGATATGAAACCAGCCTAGGTGCCCAACAAATTAGAGGTTAAGGAAAATGTGGTACATATACACAATAGAATATTTCTCATCGGTAAAGAAGAATGAAATTATGGCATATGCTGGTAATTTGATGGAACTAGAGACTATCACACTAAGTGAAATAAGCCAATCCCCCAAATCAAAGGCCAAATGTGGATGCTGTCTTACAACTGGTGGGAGACAGGGAAGAGTGGAGGTTCACTGGATTGGACAGGGGAATGGGAAAGGGGATGGGAATGGAAAAGACAGTAGAATTAATGAAGGAATCAGACATAACTTTCCTATGTTCATATATGAATACATGACCAGTGTAACCCCACATCATGTACAACCACAAAATAGCAAAATGGGAAGTTATATTTTATGTATGTATGATACGTCAAAATACATTCTATTTTCATGTATTACTAAAAAGAACAAGGTGCACACCTGTAATCCCAGCAGCTCAGGAGGCTGAGTTGGGAGGATAGCTCGTTCAAAGCCATCTCAGCAAGGACAAGGTGCTAGGTAACTCAACCATGTCTCTAATAAAATACAAAAATTTTGGGCTGGGGATGTGGCTCAGTGATTGAATGCCATTGAGTTCAATCATTCCCCTGCCCTCCACCCCGCAAAAGAATAAAACAAGACTCTTCAAGCTGATTTATACTTCTTTTTCTTTTAATAGAGTGCTCTTCTCAGGCTAAAATTAGACTAATTTTGAGGAAATGTAATACACAAATTAATAGAGGAAATTTAAAGATTCAAGTCGCTGCAATCTCAAGACTCCAACTAGGCTGCATAATTGACTTTTTAAAACTCATCCAGAGGTTTTACATTTCTCCTGCAATTAGCACTAGCAATATATTAACTACCATACACTAGGTATTGTGCAAGGGGCCTTAATTTATCCCCATATTCACAAGACCTTGGAAGGAATCATTACCATACTTCACTTTTACAAATGAAGATGTCAAGTTCCTTCATCAAATATAGAACAATATTTGATGCCATCTATTTCTAATCATAAAGCCTACATTCCTTTCATTAACTTTGTTTCATGATACCTCTAAATATCACAAAAATCCCATTTGACACTTAGTATTACTGAGAACAAATTTTTATACTACATTGAATTTGATCAAAGCTGGTACATGGTGCCATTTAAAAATAGTTATTGCTACTGTGAACACTATACATAGTGTTGACTTAATTAATATTCTTAATGTCATCTTAAAGACTATATAAGATCATCTTTCATTGAAATAGAATTTTTGAATATGAAATAAGTAACAGGAACAGAAGAAAAACATGTCAATGAAACAAATATAAATTTGTATAAGCTTTGCAGGAGATATATATATATATAGATAGATAGATATATAGATATATATATCATATATAGCAGCATACTTGGAAATTGTTGGAAAATAACTTGTTAATACTTTTTGGCAAGATAATGAAAGAGCTAGCATTGTAGAATATATTCCTTTTGGTCTAGAATAATTCATTATTTTTATTTTAATTTTTATATATGAGAGCAGAATGAATTACAACTCATATTGCACATATTGAGCACAATTTTTCATATCTCTGGTTGTATAAAAAGTATATTCACACCATTTGTGTCTTTATACATGTACTTAGGGTAATGATATTCATCTCATTCCACTGTCTTTGAGCAATTCATTATTTTAAAAAATGATACATAACCTGTGTTGAAAATCTGGCATTGATGACTCTGAGTCAAAAAATGATTCATAAGAATCAAATGCCAAGAAGAAATTTTAGGTATATTTAGAATTTTTATTTTGCTTACTTTATGTAGGCATATAGTGTTTATGATTAAAAATTCATGTCTAATTACATCTAAAATATCTCTTCCCTTTAGTATAATAAAAAATGTTAAGAGATAAATAATTGAATTATAAATAGTAATGTTTTGTCTTTTTAGTGGTACATAAAATAATAATTTATATTATAATCAATAATATTTAAGATTTAATAAAATAATAATTATAAAATGCTATAATTGAATGTTAAATACATCACTGGCAATGAAAATATTGCTTTGTATGAATAAAAATATGTAATTACAAATACAAATTGGACCAAATTTCATTATAAAAGTGGAAATCACATAGGAGATGAGTGAATAGTCCTCACAAAAGCAAATCATTAGGAAAATTTAGTGATTAGATTAGTGGCATCGCAGTCTTAACACTCTAGTAGGATGTTTTAGAAATCAAGGTAAAAAAAAATCTAGAAACCTTCTAATTAGTGAATAGAATATTTTTCTTTTCTTTCCAGCTGCTTGCCAGAGTCTTTGCTTTCATAACCATAGGGGTTCCTTCAGGTACCTAGGGATATAGGCTGGAAAAAATGTATCCTTTACTGATTCCTGTTAAAAATTGTGAACTCCAGGAACTAATGCCAAAGGAAGACAAACGTGTTAGTCTGTCCAAAGGACTATGATTACCTACAGTTTGCTTTGTGTATAAGATCTCCAGAGAATTTAATTTCACTTGTGGATTGTAGCTTTTGCATTCATATTTTATTCCTGAAAGTTAAAATCAGGGGCTTGATTTATTACATATATTACATTGCTATATTCAGGAGACATTTAGTTATTAATTGAATTTTTGCTGTTTTAGGGGAAAGAATGATGGGGATTGAACCTGCAGCCTCAAGCCTCAAGCACAGCAAGCACATGCTATAGCACTGAGCTACACCCTTAGCCCTCAACCCTTGCTTTTTAAGACATAATTTACAATTAAAATTTGAATTAGGTG